TTAAATATATTTCTTTACCATATCACAATCTACCTTCAAGTGATATTATAGTGAGCCTACTATTTATGCTTAAACAGTTGCCTTTGCACACTGGTATATTTATTCTCACTGGGTAAATTCTGAGAAATGGTTTGCAAAAGCTGTTGATTTTTAAAAGATATCTCTTTTATTCAGATACTTATTTAATGCCATTATTAATGCTATTTTTTTTCCAGTTGATTTGTTGGGTGGTCTAGGCCTGCAGTCACATCATCAGTGAATCTTGGTGAATGTGTTTTCACAGGTCCATAGTTATGTACTGCTGTTTCACGTCTTGCTGAAAAAATCAGACTTCTAGAACCACAAATATGTTTCTTATTTTATTTCTAATTTCAGTGCTACTTAACAAGCATGCGTTGCACAGGTACTGTGTGTCATGTGTCAGGCCGTTCTCAGCGCTCTACCTGCGTGATCTTACTTCACTGTCACGACACTGTCAGGTGGGCACTGCCGTGATCTCTGTTACAACGAGGAAACTGCAGCCAGGGGGTCACGTGACTTACGAAGACGGGAAGCTGGATGTGAGCTGTGACTCCAGCGTCTGTTGGTCGTGGCCTCGAGACAGGTGTGCCGTCAGTGACTGACACCCAGCTCTCAGCATAAGCCCTGGTTTGTCACATTGGTCCATTTCTGTGCTGTGACACTCCCACCGTGGCTGACTCGGCATCACGGAGCCTGGATTTGGGGAGAGAGCCTCACAGTGCCTCTTGGAAGTAGGAACTCTCGCCAGTGCCCGGGCACCACAGCCCTTAGCCTTACACCATAAGGTAAGCAGGTGCTGTTAAGATATCTAGTAGTTGAGATTCTTTGGTTTTAAAAAACAGAAATCAGCTGGAGCTGGCCCAAGCAGAAGGTGGAATTTACTATAAGAATATAGTCTCAGGACGAAGGGCAGGAGGGCCTGGGGAAGGGGGGATGAGGAGCAGATATGCTGGGCACCTCAGTGGTCCCTGGTCTCTAATGCTCTGTTTACTGCAGGTCAGTGTTCTGGCATCTCTGGCCCACAGGCAGAACGCCACCACCACGCACTGCTCCTGAGTGTACTCACAGGCTCCTGCCACCAGCGGAGACTGAGTCCTCTGACTTGGCTCGGTCAGGTCAAGAGTAAGATCTAGGTCAGTCAGCCATGGCCATGTGACATTAGTGGGTCTGTCTGCCTCTGTTCATGATCATATTGGAGAGGTCAGTCTAGACTAGGACCAGCCCCTTCTGTCTCTGAAATTCTGTTACACTTAAAACCCATCTTCATACTGTGGTCCTCTGGGCTCCTCACCATTTGGGTCCTGATGACCTTTCTGACATATGTTATCCCAGTCAGTTTTACCTTTCTTCACTTTGCCATCCTGGCCTTCTTGTTGGCCTTTGAATATTATGAGCTCATCTCTCACCACAGGGCCTTTGTACTTGCTCTTCCAATGTCTAGAAGACATTTCCCAAGGATCTTCTCAGGGGTCACACCCTCCCTTCATTCAAGTCTCTCCGTCAGAGAGCCCCTCCCTGAGCATGCTGCCCAAAACAGGCCACACCATCTGTGCCTATCCTCTTACCTGCTTTATTTTTCTTCCTCATGCTTGATAGTATCTGACATTGTATCACGTATTCGACTCTCTGCTCATGGTCTCCCCACTGGAATGTAACCCACGGCACAGGGACTTTGCCTTGTTTATACTGTATTTCCAGCATCTGGAGCAGGGCTTGCATATTATAGATGCTCAAAGTCTATTTGTGAAATGCATGATTATGTGCATGAACGAGTGAGTCTCAGACGTGTTACGAAGGACACATTTAAAAATAAGCCTCAACTATTGACTTTGTTTTCTTTTTTCTTTTTTTTTTCTTTTATCCTCACCCGAGGATATTTTTCTACTTTTTGTACAGATAGAGTGGGAGGGAGAGAGAGGAAGGGAGAGAGAGAAACATCGACGTGAAGGGACACATCGAGTGGCTGCCACCCGCACGACCAACCAGGGCTGGGGACAAACTGCAACCGAAGTACGTGCCCTTAGCGGGAACCGAACCCGGGTCTCTCCAGACCGCAGGCCGACGCTCTAACCGCTGAGCCAAACCGACCAGGGCTTGACTTTGTTTTCAAATGTGTTTTGTTTATTCTGTACTAGAATAAAATGGTACTTCTTTAAAAATGAGACGTAATTCAGATTTTTAATGGTCTGACCTTCCCTAAGGTTCCCCATAACACACTTTCTCCCAAGCCCCCTATAGTATCCTAAATAAGTGAGTGTTTGCAGTGACATGTGGAAATGGGCTTTTGTTGTTGGTTTAAGGCAGAGAATAGTTGATATTAATTATGATTTGATGATTCATTTTCTTTTCTGGTAAGAAAGGGAGTGGTCTGAAGAGCTAGTGTTTTGTTTTCCATTTTTAAAGGCTCTGTGCAAGGAGAAAACATTCTCCATTTGTTTGTAAGACTATTTCACACATGACTCCTGCAAGTCATTCTTCATTAAACCCAGGTAGAGTAACTCAGAATTACCATCAAAATAGATAGATGAGGACAGATGGCTCGCTGCCTGAAAAAAAAAAATTGAGAAAGGTACATTTCCAAAAGTATGCCAAAAGACTTTCTCCTTCTTATGAAAAATTCAGAGCAAGAAGGAAAACATGATTTTCACAAGAGAAGCATGCATTTGGCCATTGACAAGCCCTTTTTCTTCCCAAAGCTGAGGAGAAGAAAATTGACAACTTTGCCTCCAGGCTGAAATTTATAGTTTCACCATTCTGATTGATTTTCCTTTCAGCGGGCACACTCTGATAGAGTTTGGAAAAACATTTTGAGCTATGGCCTCCTCACCGGCGTACATACGTGTCTAGCTCCTGTACCCCAAGGCGATGTCTAATTCATGCCATCCGTTTAGATGTATACATTGCAAGACCTTCTGAAAAATTTTCCTTTCTTTATTGTATAACCAGCCTTGTACATTTCACACTCTTGGGAAATGAGAGTGAGCAACTGCACAGCTGGAGGGAAATAAGTGCCTCTAACTAGTCGGCTCAACACGTAAGTTAATGAATTCAACCAACAGTTAATCATTAGTGCCAGATGTGGCGCCAGGACGCAGGGCTACCGCAGGGACACGTGATCCATGTCCTCATGGAGCTCACAGTTTAGGGAGTTTCTGGAAGGAGGCGCTGTCCAATTTCAGGTCACAGACCAGCATGATGAAGACATGCTTCAGCTCTGCTATCTTCAGTGTTGGGAGTGGACCATCCCACTTTGTTTTAAACCTTCCAGATAAACCATAATATTCATTATGAATCGGTTGGACTCGTTTCTTCTCTCAAGGATTTTACCTTTCCAAGGAGGCTGACTGGTCAAACTTTTGTATTGCTTTGGAGGAGATATGCTTTTTTTTTTTTTTTTTTTTTTTTTTAACCACAGAAAAAGTGAGAATACTTCTTGCAAAGAACTGGGAGGAACAATGCCCAGGGATGGCATAATGACCTTTTGTCCTTGGAGGAAACGGATGTTCGTCCCGGACACAGCAGTCTTTTCTGTTCTCAGTGCCTGATCTAATGCACTGAACGTCAAATGCAGGGGGTGTTTCCCTCTCATGTTTGGTGGGGGGAGTTTCCTAAACAAGGCTTACAAGGGTGTTTTTAGTTTGTTTTGCTTTAAGTTTTACTAATATCTTAGGAGCTCCTGGACGGCATAAATGTATTTTTAGACTATGCTATAAGTAGAGCCTAATTTGCACAAAAGAAATTCTTAAATACCTAAAAATCTGATTTTTATACATGGAGTAACTTTCGGATTGAATATTTCTAAGGTTCCTTTTAGTTTTAGAGTTCTAAGATCTACATCATACTCTAAGAGATCTTCATTTAGTTTTGGGCTTTCATTCACAACGACCTTTCACACTAGGCATTATTCCACCCCTTTCCTGCCGTCTCTTGGTTATGAGAATAAACTGCTGACTCACAAGAAAGTCACTTAGTGAGCTTAGTCTCTGATGTAACATCTTTAAAAACTCATTTTTATTTTGGGGCAAATCTACTCTCTCATCTCTTTGTTTTATAAGATCTAATTTGCTTTTTAAAAATATGGCATGAGCCCTGGCCAGTTTGGCTCAGCGGTTAGAGCATCGGCCTGCGGTCCGGAGAGACCTGGGTTCGGTTCCCGCTAAGGGCACGTACTTCGGTTGCAGTTTGTCCCCGGCCCTGGTTGGTCGTGCGGGTGGCAGCCACTCGATGTGTCCCTTCACGTCGATGTTTCTCTCTCTCTCTCCCTTCCTCTCTCTCCCTCCCACTCTATCTGTACAAAAAATGGAAAAATATCCTCGGGTGAGGATAAAAAAAAAAAAAAAAAAAAAAAAAAAAAAATATGGCATGAGGGCAAGTCTCAAAGATGGACCCCAATGGCCCACACTTTGGAATTTGTGCCCTTTTTCACCAACTGTGATCTGGCCAGTGATTTGTTTCAGCCAACAGAATGTGACAGGAATGACAGAGCCCGTTCCATGGCTACCCTTTAGAGCATTGGAGCTTCTGCTTCCTCCTCTTGGAACACTTGCTTTTTGAAGCTCTGGGCTCCTCATTTACTTCCTGGCTGGAGAAACCACTTGGAGAAACCATGTGAAGAGACTCTGAGACTGTGTGGAGAGGGAGTGAGGTCCAGCTGTGTCTGTCGTGGTCAATCCCTGGTTGCTGACTGACTTCAACTTCATGAAAGACTTCACGAGAGACCAGCAGAAGAGCCACCCAGCTGAGCCCAGCAACCCACAGAAAAGTGAAACAGTACGTGGCTATTGTTTAAGCTCCTAAATTTAGAGGCAGTCAGTTATGCAGCATAATTAGCAGAATATGTCACACCTGTTAATCATAAGACTCCAAATAGAAAGAAAGAGAGTTGGTTTCCTCAGAAAAATTCCTATCCTAACTTGAAGAGTTTTTACAGGAAAATAAGCATTCAGTACACGGAGTGTCTAGGTTAGTGAATAGCATTCTTATTCTCGATCAAAAAACTCATCAAAAAGTGGGATTCTCTCTGTCCTGGTCCTCACCAGGGCTCTTGGTTTCTTTGTGACTGTCCCCAACGCGTCTGAGTCAGAGCTAGAACTGTCCCAGAGAAGCTGTCCCCGCGCCTCTTGTTCACGGAGCCATGTTTCCATTTTGCCCATTTTCCGGGGACAATAGTCATTCCTTGAGTGATGGTCTAAAAATTCTACATTCTGTGAATTTCCTACAAAAAAAAAAAGAAAACTTCACTTAACCATTTTTGCCCTGATAATGGTGTATTTGTTTAAGTGCCTATGTCTTTATGAACACAGAATCATCTGTTTAATATTTTTAAATATATATATACATATCAAGGTTTCCAACTGGGGAAGCATTAAAGATATTTTTCTTTTACTTTTAAAAAAAATTTAAATCTTCTGAAAGTCACAAGAATAGTATAATACATACCTGTACATGCCAACCCATCAACAACATTTTGTCACAATATTGATATATATTGCAATATACATATATGTGAGTATATGCGTATACATGTGTATAAACACACATATATATGTTGCTATATATTTATATATGTGTAAATATACAATTTTCAGTTGAACCATTTGAGAATTAGTTGCAGAGTCACTTCCCCCAGCATACAACCCCACAAATCTCCTAAGAACAGGGCAGGAAGGAGAAAAGAAGGAAGAAGAAAAGGATAGGAAATTATTCTTGAAATAAAGGAAACTGAGAAGCCCTGGCCAGGTAGCTCAGTTGGTCAGAGCACTGTCCCAGTATGCCAAGGTTGAGGGTTTGATCCCCGGTCAGGGCACATACAAGAATCAACCAATGAATGCATAAATGGATGGAGCAACAAATCAATGTTTCAGTCTCATGCTGTCTCTCAAAATCAATCAATCAACAAAGAAAGAAATAAAAAGGAGACTGAGAGATAAGAAAATAAAATGCAATGTATGATCCTGGATCCTGGATCTAAAAAAGAAAGCACAAAAAGGAAAACAAAAAATAGCTATAAGGGGCATTATAAAGACAACCATGGATATTTATATATGGATTACATATTAGGAAATAGTATGTATCAAAGTTAACATTTCTAAGTGTAATAATTGAATTGTGGTTATGTAGGAAAGTTGCTATTGTGCTTAGGGGATAGCTTAATGAAAAATACTAAGTAAATAATAGTACAGGTATCCACATAAGACCAGAATTGTGAAGGTGACATTCAAATAATATATTTAGTGTGATACTTCTCATGAAGAATATAGTTATTTTCACTGTAAGATATCAGTTCCATCTTTCTTCACTTTTGTCTATATTCCCATGAATTTATATGAAACTTTACATTTTCTATGTGCCTTTACACATAGATTAATTTTTATATAAAACCTACATGGTGACATGATTTATATTCCCATTTTTCAGATGTGGAAACTGAGGTTTGCAGAGGTTAAATGATTGGAATTTAGCTATATTCTCTCTATACATAAAATAAACCCACACATAGTAGACAAAAATTTAGCTAATATTTATTGAGAGGATACCATGTACCAAGCACTGTTTTTGGAACAAGAGAAGGTCCCTGCTCCCATGGAGCTTACATTTAGTAAATGTCCTGTTGGGGCTCAAACGAAAGACTTTGATTCCAAGTCCATGGCTTTTTCTACCCAAATTCAAATCATGGCTTGAGGAGAGCATAGGAGCCACATAGACATGTTAAAACCCATAGAATTGTAAGCCCAAAGAGTGATGTTCACTTTGTGTAAGCTATATATTATTTAATATAAATATACAGGCATATATATATATGTAATAAATATATGTAAAGTGTGGGCAATTTAATTTAATTTAAAAAAATCTTTATTGTTGAATGTAAAATGTATTACAGATGTTCCACATTTTTCCCCCATTGACCCCCTCCTCCCCACTCCCGCCCCCCTCCCACCTTTTCCCACACTATTGTCCATTGGTTATGCATATAAGTTCTTTGGTTTATTTTTTCCCACCCCCCAACCCTTTTCCCTTTGAGGTTTGTCAGTCTAGCAATGAATTTGTACTTCTTAATCTCTTCACCTTTTTCACCCAATCCCCCAACCCCCCTCCCATCTGGCAACCAACAAAATGTTCTCTGTATCTATGAGAATGTTTCTGTTCTACCTGTTCATTTTGTTTGTAGATTCCATTGTTGATAGATATGTATTCATTGCCATTTTGTTTGTTCATATATTTTATCTTTTTCTTCAAAAAGACCCTTCATCATTTCATATAATAACGGTTTGGTCCTTTAACTTTTTCTTGTCTGGGAAAGTTTTTATATGTCCATCGATTCTAAATGACAGCTTTGCAGGCTAGAATAATCTTGGTTGTAGGTTCTTGCTTTGCATCACTCTGAATATTTCTTGCCACTCCCTTCTGGCCTGCAAAGTTTCTTTTGAGAAATCAGCTGACAGCCTTATGGGACCTCCCTTGTAGGTAACTAACTGCCGTTCTCTTGCTGCTTTTAAGATTATCTCTTTGTCTTGAACCTTTTGCATTTTGATGATGATGTGTCTTGATGTGGGCCTCTTGGGGTTCATCTTGTTTGGGACTCTCTGTGCTTCCTGGACTTGTATGTCTGTTTCCTTCACCAAGTTAGGAAAGTTTTCTGCCATTATTGTTTCAAACAGGTTTTCGATTTCTTGTTCTCTCTTCTCCTTCTGGCACCCCCAAGATGCAAATGTTGGCACGCTTGAAGTTGTCCCAGAGGCTCCTTATACTATCCTCATTTTTTTGGATTCTTTTTTCTTTTTGCTGTTCTGATTGGGCATTTTTTGCAACCCTATATTCCAAATCGATGGTTTGCTCCTTGAATTTACATACTCTACTATTGAAGCTGTGTAAATTATTCTTTATTTCAGTTAATGCCTCCTTCAATTCTGACTGTGCATCCATGATTTCTGACTGGTCCTTTTTTATGTTCTTGAGGCCCTCCCTAAGTTCACTGAGGTTCTCACTAAGTTCATTGAGCATCCTTATAAGCAGTATTTTGAACTCAGCAACTGTTAGGTTGCTTATCTCCATTTCGCTTAGTTCTTTTCTTGGGTTTTTGTTCTGTTCTTTCATTTGGGACCTGTTTCTTTGTCTCCTCATTTTGGCTGCCTCCCTGTGTTTGTTTCTATGTATTACTTAACGAGAGGTATGGGGCTAGCTGAGACCAGATGCTGCTCGTTTGAAAGAATTTAGGAAAAACCTGAAGCAGGATCCAAGACAGGTCAATCCTATGGTTAAGCAAGTGGCAACAGCTTGGGTGGGCCTGAAAGTTGGGTGGGGCGGGGCGGGGCCTCAGGGAGTCAGCAGGGCGGGGCTACCAGTGTGAGCCAGGTTGCTGGAGTCCCAGATGTGGCTTCTGTCTGCTGCCCCAGGGAAGGGCTCACCAAAGGAACAAAGGACTCTGACAGCACGTTTGTTCCGGAGAAAGCCCCCTCTCCAGCCCTCGCTCCAGTGCCAAACAGCTCAGTTCTTCCCTGTATGTCTCTGGCGCCCCTCGAGCTGCCTCCCCTCCAAGCTTAGAGGGAGAGAGTCCGATAAGTCCGTGCGCGGGCCCTTAGGGAGCTGCCTGGGGCTCCAGCCGCTTCAGCTTCCCTGAGCCTCAGTTTCTGCTGGTTTTTCCAGCCAGAAGTGATGGAGATTCTCTTCCTGGCACTGGAACCCTGAGCGGGGCACCTGGTGTGGGGCGGGGACCCCTCAGTCCTCAGGGAGGACCTTCCCAGCCGAGGTGTCCTCCTGATTTTTATCGGCCACACGTGGGTGTGGGACCAGCCCTTCTGCCTCCTCCCCTCCTACCAGTCTCGATGTGGCTGCTGCTTTAATTCCGTAGTTGTAGGACTTCCATTCAGCTTGATTTCAGGCGGTTTGGAATCATGGTTGTTCTGTAGTTTAGTTGTAACTTTGATGTGGTTGTGGGAGGACGATACCGCGTTTACCTGCGCTGCCATCTTGAACGGAAATCGGCAATTTCATTTTAAAGAGGCTGCAGGAAACCAAGACTGATTTTTATCTCATTAGAGACCTGAACTCTCACTCCATCTTCTGAAAGAGGGAACAAGAATGGGCAAATACAGCATGAAATAAGAGGAGCTAGGTACAGAGGAATCTTTTTTTTTTTTTTTTTATCCTCACCCGAGAATATTTTTCCATTTTTTGTACAGATAGAGTGGGAGGGAGAGAGAGAGAGAAACATCGACGTGAAGGGACACATCGAGTGGCTGCCACCCGCACGACCAACCAGGGCCGGGGACAAACTGCAACCGAAGTACGTGCCCTTAGCGGGGACCGAACCCGGGTCTCTCCGGACCGCAGGCCGACGCTCTAACCGCTGAGCCAAACTGGCCAGGGCCAGAGGAATCATTTTTTTAAAAATATTTTTTCTTTATTGATGTTAGAGAGAGAGGAAGGGAGAGGGAGAGAGAGATAGAAACATCGATAAGAAAGAACATCAATTGACCACCTCCTGCATGCCCCCCACTGGGGATCAGGCCCACAACCTGGGCATGTGCCCTGACCGGGAATTGAACTAGAGACCTCTCGGTGCCACACCAGCCAGGCCAGAGGAATCTGAATACCAGAATCTGACTAGCAGAATGCTCATGGAAGTCTGTGATCTTGGCTACATTCCACTTTTAGGAGAAAGCAGAGTGAACTGCTTTTAGAAAACGGGTAGAAATCAAAGATGCTCTTTGGGAGTAAACAGAAAGGAACCATTGCTCCAGCATGTGCCTACTTCCGTGGTGAAATCTGCAGGCTTGAAAAAGCATGAGGAGAGCAGGAGAGCCCCCTTCGCCAGGCGTCACAGCCTCTCCCGTGCCCTCCAAATCTGGGGCGTCTTCCAAAGACGACACCAATGTTGGCTTTCCTTGGCCTGAGCTCAAGCGATGAATTTACGTGTCTGAGTGTAGCTGAGGCACTTTTCCTGGTTGTTTTGCCAATATTTTTTTAATTGTAAAAGTTGTTTCCCTACCTGACTACACAGCATATCTCATTCTGGGACTCAGGAGTATAGGTTAAATAGATGCCTCAGGTAGATTTTCAATTATGCTGCCTTTTCTTATTTAATTAACTTATTGATTAAGCATCTTGTTCCTTGGAGCAGGAGCAGTATCTCTTTCAGCTGGCTGTTTTGCCTCTTAGAAGCCCAAGCTCTCCAGAGGCATGGCAGCATCTCCCCAGATCTCTCACTGGTCAGTCTGGCCTTGGCGGGGATTTGGCCCACAACACGGCAATCTGCGAGAGTGTGGACAACACGGTACATTTGCAACCTTGGGCTTGCCCTGGGGGAATGCAGACAGAGAAAACTCAATGGGGCTCTAATTGGTGAGGCAACCTAGCACAGAGGTTGCGGACAGGACTATCTGCTGGAAATCACAGAGTAGTCTGAGGCTGCTGAGTAATCTGGCCTGGCTGGAGTGTGGGGGCTGGGCGTGGGAGTGGCAGGTGATGAGGCTGGGGAAGGGAGTTTAGACTTTGTCCTCAGGCTGATGGAGACTCACTGAAAGATGTTTTGTTTTGTTTTTTGGTATGTGCCCCTAGCGGGAACCGAACCTGGAACTTTCTGTTCCGCAGGCCAATGCTCCAACCGCTGAGCCAAACCGGCCAGGGCTGAAGGATGTTTTTAAGCAAGACAGTGAGCTGGTCAGATTTGCATTTTATAAGATTACTCCAGTATGGGTGTACTACTTCTAGAATTTTATTGGGCATGAGAATCACTTTGGAGTCTTGATAAAATGCAGGGCCTGATTCAGTGAAATTCCTCACTTCTAATCAACTCCCAGGCGATGCAGATGCAGACTCTGCTGCTGGTCTCTGCCCTGACCAGGAATCGAACCGGCGACCTCTTGGTGCATGGGCTGATGCTCAACCACTGAGACACACCGGCCGGGCTGACGCTGGTCTCTGGACAATACTTTGATTACCAAGTAGACCAGTGCTTCTTAAACCTTGGGGGCATCCACATCACTGGGGCAGGGGCTGTTAAACCTGAGTGCTGAGCCCCACCCCCACAGTTTCTAATTCAGTCGCTCTGGCTGGGGCCCTGACAAGTTCCAGGGTGAGGCTGGTGCTGTTGGCCTGAGGCCCACACTGAGAACCACTGAATGGAGGGCTGATGTGGGAGGGTGAGACCCGAGTGAGGGGTACAGTCAGGAGGCTGTAGCGATAGCCTTGGTTTGACACGATGGCCTAAGGGTGACATGGGGAATGGGGGAGAGAGGGAAGATTTCAGTGCCAGGTGACATCGGCAGGACTTTGTGATTGACCAGTTACGAGCAGAGGGAACAGAAGGGCTGGAAAGGCCCCCGGTCCCTGCCCCGAGTGACCCAGGGCACAGATTCAGTCTCAGACATGCCGAGTGAGCCGTAGGGGAAAGAGTGGGCCGGGCCAGTGCCCGCGTGCGGCACCGAGCTGGCTGGCACCAGTTTGCCCTTTAATATCTTCTCCACGTGCTTCATTCTCTTTCACCACAAGATGAGGCTGTTTTGCCTTTTTTTAACCTAGGGCTGGAGCAAGGATCGCCAACAATGTGTAAAAAGCACAGTAAAGCTCTACAGAGGAAGAAACATTTGCTACAGCTCTTTTCTTCCTGGCCGTCCAAATTACACGGTCACATGCCCACTATATTCTGGGCAGTAAAATACCAGCAGGGACCCAAGGCTATTTGCTGACCATCCCCCCAGCCTCCTGGAAGTTTATTTGATGATGATTTAAATACTTGAGATAGTTTATTTTACTGAAAAAATTACATGACTCACCTGGACTTGGGTGTAATGTTTCATCAGGCAACAAGGTGAGAAAGTCACCGTCATCATTTCTGCGGATGCTGTCAAGGATTTTCTTGGCCTTATGGTCCTTCAGTTTCTCCTTATTGATCCTTGCCTCCCTGAGAAGACTTTTCTTCAACTCCACTTGGGCCTGAAAATGATCAGTTATACACGGTTCAAGTTCTCCCCCACCTCCGCCCACAGCTACTTTCACCAGATCAGGTCAATGGATCAGCCTCTTTGCAAGCTGTCTCCTCATCTGTAGACATCTGTGGTCCCCTAATCAGGACATGGTTCTCTTTTTTCTATTGGAAGGTACAGAAATGTTCTTTAGTGCACAGGTTTGTTAGAAGGGAGAGTATGCCACAGTCTCAGAAAGAAGAGGACTTCTCTTAAAACATTCCTCTGTAGCTAGTGATAGATTTGGAATAGCAGAAGACAGTGGCTTTTGGCTTATTCACTAGAGTGAGAAATTTGGAATATGAGGGTTGGGGGAGCCAGGCTGTAAAAGTGTGCCCGTCGTATCTCTGCAATGTGTGCCCTGGAAAGACCTCACAAATCATTCTGTAGCATACACGGTGGGGATGCCTCTGCATCAAAGACCAACTCGCTCCCCTCCCTTTTACTAAACGAAGAAAAATGATCTAACCTCATTTTTCTGCTGGAGCCAGAATGTCATAGAAGCAACAGTTAAAAAAGAGAGACTTGGGACACAAGTACATCCTGTGAGGACTGAAAACAGAGGGAAGATGGTTGGTAGCAGAAGGGTTCTTGCTGGTTCTTCCCAACTCCAGGAACTGAATCTTTGGATCCAGTGTCTAAATTTAAAGTGCTAAGTAAAGAGTGAAGAGGAATGCTTAACTATATTCATGTGCTGAGGCAGTAATTATGCGGAGTGAATTTGGTAAATGTGACACTCTTCTACTCTCTCCTTATATTTACCTCTTGTCTTTTACGGTTCATTTCCAGCATTTGCATCTTATGTAAATATTGTCTTTTCCCAGAAGTATACATTGGAATTTGCATCTTCTTTTCCAAGTCCTGTTGCAAAAGATGACACCTCCATTAGTATGAGGTAACTAGTTACTGACTCTGCAATCTACAGTTTGAAGCCCTCTTTGGAACAGAACGAGATCAACCCTCAATCAAAGGGGACAGACCATAGCAGTTCCCCAGTAAGTCCTTTGTGTAGCCACCAGTGGGCAGAGCGGCCATTTGCAATGTGAGCTACGTAGCTGTTAAGGTTCCTGTGGAGTGTTGCAGACCTTGAATGGACATACTTTTCATATCTCATTTTGATAAGATATCACTTCCCCTGTCAAAAGATGTTTATTACTATGTTCGCAGAAATATGCCTGGGTTTGATGAGACCTGCCTCTCCCTCCTTGTCTCTTCTCCCACTGACTGTCTGGCTATGAAACTAGAGAGGAGCCACTGAATGGTAAAGGGAACCTATTCTGTAGAATGGCCCCATATACCGCATAAGCCCTGGTATATTGCATTTAGGAAGGACTTGAAGTTGAATGTTTGTGGCGTTGGTGCCCTTCCCCTGGTGTATCATAAACCCCAGTGGGACAGTGCAGATAGTCCTTGGGGGGCAGCCAGGGGTGAATACACCCTCATTCACCACCAAATGCGTTCAGTGATGTTTTCTGTTTTATGTCTCTGCAGGAGGGGAGCTTTCTCAGCAGAGCTTGATAAGCTTATAAAAGCAAGGAGCTCTACAGAAGACCCTTTCGGGATTACTTTTTGGTGCGTTTGTAGTAAACAAGTCAGGAATAGCTCGCAGATAGGATTTATCCTGAAAACAAAGAGAACGTTTCAGCCCGAGGGAAAGAAATGAAAGAGAAGAGTTATGTTGGACTTTTCCATAAATTGCAACACTTCTAGAATCGCCAATTTGCAAGTAAAATTCCTCTGTCTCATCTTCTCCCTGTTTCACCACGAAGCAGAGAAGGGCCCTGGGTTCACCCGAGAGGCAAGAGCGGTGGCCAGCTGGAGGCAGGCCCAGGACAGGACCGGGAGCTTTGGAAAGTTTTAACTGAACGGTGAGCTGGTTTGATGGGCTTTGAAACCTTCTGTGCAGGGAGTTTGGGAGAAGGACAGTGCGCCCTCCAGTCATACCCGCCCCTCCGGTCACCCCTGCAGCTCACCTCCGCTCTGTGAGTTGTCCTGGCTTCCTGCTGGCTCAGGATCCTTTCAGAAGTAATTACTTGTGGCAGGTCAACAGGTTCAAGCTTCTAGAAGGCCAACGTTTAGAGCATTCAGCATTCCTCGAGCCACGAGATGATGAAATATAAAAGCCAGACATTAAACTATCTTAACACTTTGCAAAAGCAGCACGTGCTCCTGAGAGCACAGAGAAGGTGATTTCAACGGGGCCACAGTCATACCTGTGCAAAAGGCTTTTCGGCCGCTCTGGGTTCCTTATTGTCCTATTGCACTGTCGTCAGTGACTTCTTGATTTAAATATTGATCAGAGAGTCCAAAGACTAAGAATCTTTTTTTATCTGCATTGAGGGACCATGTCTAAAGTTATCGAACAACGAGGATCTTAGAGTATTAGAGATGAGAGCGGTACCAAGAAGTTCCTTCCTTTTCTTCATCCTTAACCGCCCCACTGACCTCGTCTGGGCCTTAGGGAAGGGGCGTACTTGTAAGATCTCCAGAGAGGCTCCCTTAGCCTCCTCAGGAACACCCAGTGGTGCTTAGGAAGCACAGGTACGGTGACAGTGCATTGTGCTAGCAAAGTTTACACGTGACTTTTTCTAGCAGGGGTTTGGCTTTATGGGGGAGGTGATGCTGGAGTGTCAAGGGGTCACTGAGACTGGGCGGCAGTGGATGAACCAGAGGCTCTGCCTCCAGCCCTCCGTGCCTTAGAGGACAGAATGCTCCAGAAGCTAGAGCCGTGGCAGGTGCCAGTAGGCTGGGACAGAAAGGCTGCTCTGTTCATGCTGATGTGAGGTCAAGGACCCGGAGGGCTGTGGAGTTTATTTCTTTACTCAGTTCTGATTGAGCAGCTGCTGTGTGACAGGCGTGGGGGTACCATGCTCAACGAACATGGGCATGGGGGTGGGGGACAAACACACTTTTGCTCGTGTGACTATTTGGTTAAGAATTACAAACCAATCAGTACTTCGAGGAAAAAGTCTTCAGGGCAAGACTATGACACTATATCCCTGGAGGACTCCACCTTGGAAATGGGGGTGTTAATGAGTTGAATTGAGTTCCTGCTTCTAAGTTGATATGTTGAAGTTCTAGCCCCCAGGACCTCAGACTGTGACCTTATTGGGGAATAGGGTCGTTGCAGATGTAATCAGTTAAGATGAGGTCATACGGAGTAGGGTGGACCCTTAATTCAAGAGGGCAGTGTTGTCGTAAAAAGAGGACATTGAAAACAGACACACACATAGAGAGAGCAGCCCGCGAAGATGGAGGCGGACATTGGGGTGACGCCTCTACAGGAACAGGGACGCCAAGCCTGCCGGCACGTCCCCAGAAGCCAGGGGGAGGCGGGGCACAGGTCCCTCTCACAGCCCGCAGAAGAAACCGAGCCTGCCAGCGCCCTGTTCCACACTTCCAGCTCCCGGAACTGGGGGGCTGCTCTTGAAGCCGCACAATCTGTGAGCCTTTGTGACTGGAGCCCTAGAAAACTAACGCAGGAGGTGAGGGCCAAGGAGGCAGTGCGTGCAATTTCCCGAAGCAATTTTTCAGCAGGAGCTGGAAGGTTGGGAGTTGCCAGGGGCCTCAGTTGTTCCAGGCAGAGGGAATGCCCTGGACAGCAGCCTGAGGTCGGAGAGCACACAGCTGTGGAAGGAACTGCGAGGAGCCGGCAGTCACATGGGGCTGGAGAGGGAGGCGGGGGCCAGCTCCCTGGGCCTGATGGGTCAGTATCTCGTGGTAGTTTCCTTCAGACCATGGGCAGCCATCCACTCGTGTTAAGCAAAGTAGTGACATGGTTACAGTTGCTTGTTAAAAATGATCACTGTAGCTGCAGTGTGGAAACTAAACTAAAGAGAGTAGTGAGGAGGGCAAAGGTCCCGGCTTGGGGGCTGTGCAAGGACACTGATGGGCTCTATCGATATTAAAACTGCCCAAACAGGACTCATGGTGGTCGGTGAGGGAGAGCGAGGTGTCTAGATGACCTTCAATACAACGGACAGATAGCACTGTCAGTCACTGGTGAGGAATTCTCGGGAGCACCAGGTTTCGGTGGAATATTGCAGGAAGATGCAGATTCGGTTTAGAGCAGGGAGCCTTTGAGATAACAGTGTAGATGTTGAGTAGATCACTAGACAGGCAGGCATGGAGCTCAGAGGACAGGTCTGTGCTGGGGATCCTTCCTGGGGAGAGAAAAACTGGAACCACAGACGTGGGCGAGTCAAGGGTGAGAAGCCAGAGCCGCTGAGGAGTCCAGAGGGGGTGGCTGGTGGGCGGACGACAGGCAAGGACACTAAGTGATGGGGCGGGAGGAGGCCGGGCGCCCTGCTGCTGCTGCACAGTGAGCTCTGCTCCCTGAGGCCAACGCGAGAGGCACCTCCTAATATACTTTGACATTATTTTTTACTGTAGTCTGATTTGTTGTGTTATCAAGGCATAGTCCTGGAAGCCAGCGTGGCCGTCAAGGGTGAGAAGAGAGGGAGAGAGACCACCCAGCACTCAACGGGCAGCCTGACGCGGCCTCCTGCCGCTGCCCTAGGGCACAGCTGCCAGGGCCTGGGCCTGTGCCCGCCCTGTTCTCGGGGTGGTGGTGGGGGTGGGATGGGGGAGGCCAGCGGTTCCTTCTGCTGGAGCAGCCTAGTGGGAGGAAGTAGGTTCCTGTGTTCATTTGTTTGTATTTAACATAGTGACTTTGCAAGGAGATGATGAGAGGCGATCAATACTAGTAGGAGAGGTTTGTCTGGCTCTAGTCTGCAGAATGGAAAGACGCAGAGCAAAGGGACCTGCTGGCACTGGAAGCCACTGCGGTAAGTCAGAGCCCTGGTGGGAATGGAGAAGAACAGGAAGGAGGAGGGAGACCAAGGCTGAAGGGATGGACGTGCAGGCACCTAAGGGAGGGAGAATCAGCAATGACTGAGGGGGGCTTCGGGCTCAGGAAAGAACAGGAAATGTTTGTGCCGTTCCCTGGCTTCTTCCTGGTGATTAGGCCCAAATGCCTTTGCAGCCACTGCTGTTCCTCATACTCAGGGTCCCAGTATGTCACCTCACTTAGTCATCATGGGAACCCTGTGGGTGACGGTGATGATTCCCCGTTTCATAGAGGGGAGTAAGGTGTCCCAAATTGCATAGCTAGTAAATGGCGACTCCAGGACTCAAACTCAGGTCTGCCCAGTTCCAAATGTCATGCTTTTCTCCACTACTTATTCCTCAACCTGGTTTATCATCAGAAACTCTTGGAATTAAAAAAAAAATCCTGAGCTATTCATTGGTGATTGAGAGTCAACAGGTCTGGGCTATGTCCTGGCAAAAATTAGATGTATAGTATCTATAAATGTATGTATATTTAATTAATAAACTATTTTTTAGAGAAGATTTAGGTTCACAGCAAAACTGAGCAGAAAGTACAGAGTTCTCATATACTCTGTGCACACAACCTCCCCATTATCAACACCCTGCACCAGAGGTACATGTATCACAACTGATAGCCCTACAGGGACACGCCATTATCACCCAAAGTCTTTAGTTTGCATTAGGGTTCACTCTTGGTGTTGTATATTCTAATGGCTTTGGACAAATGCATAATGACATGTATCCACCACTGTAGTCTCATATGGAGTAGTTGTATTAACCCAAATCCTCTGTGCTCTGCCTATTTATTCATCCCTCTTTTTCCCCTACCTCCTGGCAACACCTAGTACTTTTATTACTGTCTCTCTAGTTCTACCTTTCCCAGAATGTCATAGAGTTGGAATCATACAGTATGTAGTCGTTTCAGATTGGTTTCTTTCACTTAGTAACATGCATTTACGTTTCCTCCACGACTTTTCATGGCTTGAGAGGCACATTTCCTTTTAATGCTGAAGAATATCCCCTTGTCTGGACATATCACAATTTATTGATCCATTCACCCACCGAAGGACATCTTGGTTGCTTCCGAGTTTTGGCAATTATGAATAAAGCTGCCAGAAACATCTGTGTGTAGATTTTTGTATGGGTATGAGATTTCAATTCACTTGGTTAAATGCCAACGAGTGTGATGACCAGATTATATGCTAAGAGTATGGTTCGCTCTGTAACAAATCTTCCAAAGTGGCTGTACCATTTTGCATTTCCACCAACTATGTGTGAGAGTTCCTGATCCTCCACACCCTCACCAGCATTTAGTGTTGTCAGTGTTCCGGATTTTGGCCGTTCTAATGTGTATGTAGTAGTATTTCATTGTGATTTTCATTAATAATTCTTTAATGACATATGCTGTTGAACATCTTTTCATATGCTTAGTTGCCAGTATATCTTCTTTTATCTTTTCATTCTCTTAACACTGTTTTTCACAGAACATAGGTTCTTAATTTTAATGAAGTCCAGCTTATCAGTTGTTTCTTTGCAATACATATTTTTCAAAACTCTCCAGAGTATTCATACGATTTCTGAGGGTGGTATTCACTGGCTTCTATGCTGTCTGAACTGAATAAAGGAGCTATGCCCAGCTGGTGTGGCTCAGTGGTTGAGCGTAGACCCATGCACCAAGAAGTTGCCTGTTTGATTTCCTGGTCAGGGCACATGCCCAGGTTGTGGGCCTGATCCCCAGTGGGGGGCATGGAGGAAGCAGCCAATTGATGTTCTCTTTTATCGATGTTTCTATCTCTCTCTCCCTCTCCCTTCCTCTCTCTAAAATCAATAAAGAAAAAAAATTAAAGGAGCTACATCAAAAGGGACTACAAAGCATTTGTTTGTGGAATGTCATTGAGTCTGAACAAGCCAGCTATTTAAATATTTTTAGCTATTTAAAATAACCTATCTACAAGTTATTAGAGCCAGGTTTTTCTTTGAGAGTATGAATATATATTCTTTTATTTCCAGTCTCATTTTATCTGAATCTGCAGCTCTGCTTAGGGTTAAGTAGTAGGTGTCTTCAAGTACCCTCTCCAGGCAATTACCTCCTTCCTGGCCATTGAAAAGAACCTAAAGGCTCACAGTCTTTCTCCTCAAAGGTCGCTAGATGGCAGCAGCTAACACTGCAAATATCTGTCAAATCATCTGCACTTGGCCTAAGAAGCACTGCAGAAAAAATTGTTGGAAA